CTAATTCCTATGGAGTGGCGGTTCTAAAACACAGGTCACGGGTCATTGTTTTACCAATACTGGAACAACCCTAACCTCTTCCCGATACTAACCTTAAGCCTAAACATTGTCTTAGTGTAGTATTTAGGCCTAAAACATTGTCTTAGTTTAGTACTTAGGCCTAAGGTTAGCATTAGGATGGGGTTAGGGTTGTTTCAGTATTGGTAAAACAATGACCCGTGACCTGTGTTTTAGACCCGCCGCCTATTGAGCCATCATGAACGAAATCTCTGCTCAGCTGATTGTGGCGTGTCCGTGTATTGTGAGAACTTTGAAGTCAATCACAAATAAAACATGTTTTAGCGCCCAAGTCATGGATGCACTTGGGAAGTTTGGAGAGCCCTCAAGAAGCTAGAGTTGCTCTCGGCTCTCGCCTCGAGCAACTCTTACGCTTCTTTCGTGCTCGCCAAACTTCCTGCGTGCATCCATAACTCGATATACGTACGCTAAGCATGAACCAATTCTTTTCAAGCAAACCAAATGCAAATTGAACATTACTTACCAAGATTCATCCAAAATGGCTACAACAATGATCATTCGAACGCATGTTGTGAGCTTGTGGTGTATCATGGGATAGTAGACTCCAGACTCGAAAATTAGGATAGGAACATCAAATCCCCTCGGATCCATAGGACAAACGGAACGAACAGACCCATTTACTAGTATTTGTGGCCAAACATCAAACAGAAGAGGTCTTGACTACCAAGTAACAAATGAGAGCACGTCATTTTGGCAACGAGTCAAAAGCATTGTGAGCCTGAAGCGTGGGCGGTGCAAGGTTTTTCAAAGTTTTCCAAACACACTCGAGTGTTTTTTTTTTCCTTCTCATTTTTCGCTCGGAGAATGTAAGCATATCCAAGCATATCTATGATAACGGTAATGTTACTATGGCTTCCATGGTTTATAAAAATAATAAATGAGCGTATTTACATAGCCTTCTGCAAATCTTTTAGGGAAATCAAAGTGCGTGTCAGTACCGGTATAAGCACAATATTCGTGATGAGAGTCTCATACTGAAATGATTAACTTAAAAACGGCTATTGTAAATCTACCACGTCGGTCAGGCTAAAAACTAACGAAAGCAAAGGTAAAAGGAAATCATGGGATTAAATCCCTCTTCTCAATAAATCATTTGTTTACTGAAGGAAATATGGCATAAATATTGGCATGTAGATCAGAATCATAAGAGCATAATCATGTACAGTCACTTTATGTAAATTCTCTCTACTCTCAAAGTCTGATCTGGACACTAAAATGATTAACTAACAACTGAGAACTGTACATCTATTTCGTCATTCAACCTGAAAACTGACGAGATTAGGGCAAAAGTGACACGTTTTCTCCCTTTCTCCTTTGAAATACAGCCTCTCAACTGATTATATGCCCCACGTCTTGACAAACTTTAGCGCTGGTAATCTAAATGCGCCGGTCGTGACTTAACCGTCGAAAGAAAGTTAACTTCAAGAGTTGTCACAGGTTATCACTCGTCAGACAGCGAAAAGGAAAGAGTTTGATTAAACAAACGTTTTGTTTATAAACGGTTTTCTTTACTCAATGAAAGTCTAAACTCCAAACTCATTGAGCCACCCAATCATGTCGTTCGGGTTGCCCAATTGTTTGTAAAAGAATTTGCATACTAACTATTTAAATTGCTCATTAAAAGTCGATCAATTGTTTCACACAGAGTGCGGGCAGTCGATTGATCGCTTTACCTCCGAAAATCGCATGAATTAAAAAAAAACAACAGAAGATGAAGTTTTCATAAGAAACAGTTTTCTCCAACGGATCTTCGACTGCGAAGCTGATAGTATAGAGAGTAACCTCTGTGCACGACACGTGTTTGCAGCAGGCTTCATTACACTCGCCGGACTTTAAATAATTTGCAATGAATCCTGGTTACGGAGAGGTTAGTATATTCATGGTTGTTATAAATATATAAGTCTTGCCGCTATGAAGACAACTAACGATATCTCACGATCGTGTTTCCACGCGCCACTATGATAGATGCAACAGCAGATCGCGTTAATT